GTGGGTGCGAGAGACACTATTGCGACTCCTCAAGGCTGCTGTTGACAGAAGCAGCTGTGGACAGGGGGCGAGCCAGCCATGTGATTGGCCAACCCCTGGCCTGTGGGCACCTGTTGCTATTCAGAGCACTTGTTGGCTGTAAGTGTATGTTCTCTGTAAACTCAAACTCTCTTCTGGCTAAGAAGAAACAGGCTGGGAGCCCCTCTGGTCCAGCGCCTGTCCCGGTGCCTGGTCCTCCGTGCCGCAGGCTGCCGAGGCGGCGCCCCAGGAGCAGAGGAGCAGCGGGGGCGATGGAAGCCCTGGAAGTTTTAGAGCTGATAGCACAGCAACTCAGAAACCAGTGCCGCCGGAACGGTGAACTTGAAACCTCTCACTCACCACAGGATTTAATCCATATTTTAAAAGAAAAATGCCACAATTTAAAATAACAGGCACTGACTGGTCTGAAATATCCCAGAAAAATCTGGTTTAAGATTTTTTTAGGCATTGATCCAAGAACATTTTTTCTTTCTGCCTTTTGGTCTGTTGAAAGAGACACAAGATACCCGGATGCCTTTGAAGGTGTCAGTGCCAGTATGGAAAGAAGTGCTTGACAAGCTGTCCTGCAAAGGGAGCCACCTCGTAGACCTGTCACTGCCTGACCTTCTCAAGTCCACCTTTGTGTTGTGTCTTTCTGTGGGTGGATTCTGTTTGCTCTGAGTGTGAGTGGGGGCGGGGCACAGAGACAACACCCTCGCGCCTGCAGTCTCAATCCTCCTCCCCCTCACCTGGAGCTCCCCCAAGGCCTCTGTGTCATTGACAGCAGCAGGTTCCCGCCTTAAAGAAGCATTTAGCTGGGGCTCCCTGCAGAGGAGAGGAAATAGGTCACCAAGGGAAGGGAGGTGAGTTCCCTTCATAAGGAGATGATTTGGTCATTTACCAGAGGTGACAGCGGCACCAAAATGATGCCAGTGGGCAGGAAGGGAGTATCAAAGACGCCCCCATTGTCTCCCTTTCCACAGGGCCCAGATGAACACGAGAGCCCCTTCGGGATACCGTGTGGCTCCTTCACGAGAGCAGAGAACTTAAAACAGTTTTCTTTCCAAAGGACTGTTGGAGCTGGGTCTGCAAACTCCCCCCCGCCCCCCACTTCTGTTGGAGCAGAGTGGGAGGGGTTGGATTCCAGCTCGGCACCAGGAAGATGCGGAAGGGGACCAAAGTCTTGACCACCCAGCCACAGGCTCCACCCACTCTGCTTCTCCTGCTTAGGTGTTTGTGGGACTATCTACTCTGCCTCCTGGTCTCTGGACCCTGGGGTGGGTCTCTGGCTTGCCCACAGGTGCAGACTCCTAGCTCCCCTTGGCCAGTTGTCTGGAGAGGCAGTGGGACCTCTCTGGGGGATGTGGTTTTAACCCTTTGCTTGTCATAAAAATAGTCAGCAGGTCAAGGCTTGTCGTAGGGGGCTGGCTTCCTCCTCCGTGTGATGGGCTAAGGGACTGACTGTGGATGTCTCCTGTTCTCAAGCAGCCCCAGTGTGGTCCGAGACAAAGCCCAGTCTGGGTCACTGTGGCCTCAGGTGGCTCAGAGGTGGGGTGGGAGGGGTGGGAGGGAGAAGAACGTGAGTGCTGCCAACTTGTCTCTTGGACCATGTTGACTTTTAGTGCAACCACACCTGAGGTGGGGGCAGATGGCGCCGTGTCCACCACTTTCGAAACCTTCTAGCCACTTAGAGTTGCAGACCAAAGAACAGGAGATTGTGTGAGATAATGTAAGAAGCCGTATTCCTACAATGGGATCCCTTTGGGGGGGCGTGGCACAGCAGTTCAGACGTTGCTTGGGACACCTGCATCCCCTACTGGGGTACCTGGATATGAGTCCTGACTCGCTTATGATCTCAGCTTCCTGGCAGGCAGCATGCTTGCTCCAGTATTTGGGTCGCTGCCGCCCTTGTGGGAGACCTGTGCTGCGTTCATAGCTTCACTTTAGCCTGGTCCAGCCCTGACTGCTGTCAGCATTTGTGAAATGAAGCAGCAGATGGGAGATCTCTATTTCTGTCTCTGTCTCTCTTGCCATCAGCTGAGCCTCCTGCATGGGCTGAGTGATGGGAGATGCTGTCTCCTGCCCTAGGGCTGCCAGCCCCTGACACCTCCTCCAGCTCAGCCCTGGAGCCAAGGGTAGCTTAGGCACCTTTGGGTGACTGTTATCCTTGTGTGTTCTTTGTAAGTTAGCCCTTCCCTTGTTTTTAAAAAAAATGAACGAACTACATCTTCCATGGCTTCCCCAAACCCTTGTACTAATGTCCTTTTTTGGTCAGCCAGCTGATTGTTGTTTTCCGAGGACACTAATGACAACCCGGGCGTGATGCTTGCGAAGCCCCACATTAAGGCGGCTTGCGTCTAAACCTGCCATTCAGGTAATGACTGCCGCCCTCTGGGCAAACAAGCCGGGGCCTTGTTGGGGGAAGGCCCGGTGGTAACGCCAGGCCACCTGGGCAGGGTGTGAGGCCAGTCACAGGCGCTGACCTGGTGGAGTTGGGCGTAGGGTCACAGATGACTTTATGATGCTTTTGTTGAGTGTGGAAGAAAACTTCAGAAGAGGGTGGCAAGAGCTTGATGGAAGGAACGCGTTTTCTTTTGGCTTCTCAGCTCGGGTGCACTTCCTTATCACAGTGCAAGCCAAGGCAGTAATTATTAGGGTTACTGACTGTGATTAGGGGTGACAGGAATCACAGTTGGGCAGAGGGACTGTTTTGTATATTTTAATTTCCTCCTCTGAAGTTCTGACTTCAAGAACTCCTTTATTTTGTCTTCCTGTTAGTGAACAACTCCATAAGAGGCATGAGGTGGGTGTTAAATAACTAATCTTCACAGTTCTTCTTTCTAACTTCATTCATTGCGATATGAATTTCTTGGAAACAAAGGATAAGGACGTCAGTAACAGCTGTGAAAGCAACCAGTGCAGTTGAGTTTAGTGTGGATTAGGATGCAGCTTCAGTTAAATTTATTGTTTCTTCTTAAAACTTCAGCCGTTGTTTGGTTCACTGCACTAAAAAAATGGTTCTTAAAGAGAGTTTAAGAAGATCTTTACAAATGAATACTCACATGTAGAGAGAGGTGTACTTTGTAGTGCTGTATTAGGTAACACAAGTGGTTGATCTTGGACAAGTCTTTTTCATTCTCTCCAAAGGGTCAGATTTGTTGTGAGCTTCTCATTGCGTGAGAATGGGATAATTTGAGACAAGATGATTGATCTCTTTAATTTCCAGACTCTGTCTTCTCTTCTTGGTGAGAGTCTAAAAAACACCTCCCTTCCAGGCCTAACTTAATCAAACTCTTGTAGGATTAATTTGCTTTGAGCAAGACTTTGCTGATGGGATTCTGCTGATGTCGCCTTCCCTGCTGTGTTGCTCATCCAGCTCAGTCTGTGGTGAGTCTATTGAGACTGACTCACAAAAATGACATTCAGTGCTGGGCCAGGCCAAGTGATTGGTGAATTCAAATCGTCTATAGTCTTGCTACTTGAAGTGTGGTCCAGGGACCAGCAGTCTCCGTATCATCTGGGATCCTACTAGAAATACAGACTCTTAGACCCCAATCCAGAGCTTCTAGATCATAATCTGCATTTTAATAAGATCCTGGGTTATAAGTGTACACACCATTATTTGAGAAAAACTGATAAGGAGGACACAGGACTAGGTCGTGACCCAAAAACTCCTGAATCCTTACACGTTGGAGATGACGAATGGCAGTCTTCACAATATGTGTTGGTGACGAGCCTCTGGACAGAATCTTTCCAGTTAGTGGCCGTAGAAGATACCTGGTGTAACCATTGCCCATCGCCCATCCATCGTCACTACTATTCTTCATTCTTGTCCTTGCATGTTCCCCGAATATGGGGAGGGGCAATTTTGGCAGAAATGAGAAGTGAGTGCAAGGTCTAGCTGGACAAACGTATGAGGTCTTCTGGGCCTGGAACTTGCTGAACCCCCAGAGGAGCAATCAGAACTGAGTGCTTCGAGCTTTGGGTAATGGGTAGGTGGCTCCTGGTCGTAAAAGCCTGTCCCTCCATGGACCCGAGCGTCTGGTGCTGACTCGTGTGTTTTACCTTCATGCCATGTCAATGATGTCACACCACTAAGCCTCTGACAAGTATGGGCTCTGTTTTCAAAATAGAAAATTCAGATTTCTCATCCCAAGACTGCCAGCGAGTGTTCACCAGAGTGTGTAGCCTGGGTTTAGGTTCTATGCAGTCGCTTAGGAGCCATTTTTGGTTTGTGCAACACAGATTCTGGTCCCTTGTTTTATAGCTAAGTGACCGCAGCAAGTCAATGCGTTCCCAGGTGAGGACCCGGTGTCCTCAACTGCAAAATGAAGACAATGGCAGGCGTTAAGTGAGGTCCTGGGTGGAAAGCTCAGTCCAGGATAGCTCTCGTTCTAAAAACTTCTGTCTGTGTGGACGTGTGTCACATGTCCAAGTGTGGTGCATGCATCCCTTGACATGGCATAAGCTGACTTTTTAAAAAATTGGATGACTCATAATTTTAGGAGTCAGTTTCAAAGAGAAGTTCAGATGATTGGGTGGTTGGGAGAGTTCATGCACTGGGTACACACACACACCTCAAGTAAAGTTCCTGACTGTGGTTAGGTGATTAGGTCGTCAAGCATGTCAGAGGCACTGTCTTTTCAGTTTTGCGTCATCTCACTGTGAATCTATTTCCCAAAACTCTGATCTTCTTAGAAAGATGGTGACATGCAGATGTTGTGATACAGTGAACAAGATAGGGCATGAGTCACACATGTGGGGGTGAACTCAATTATGTAGTGGAGTCAGAGGCCAGCATCGTTATGACACAACAGTCACCAACAAAATACTTTGGGGGATGCAGAAACAGCAGAATTCTTGTGATGAAAGACCAAATGGGAATATAGCATTTATGTGATAGCATTGTGAGGAATCATACTCAGAATGCCTGAATAATATTCAAGGATATTAATAACTTACACATTACACATTATAACCAGGAGCTCCCTGATGTCAGGATCATCTTAATCAGTGACAGCCTTATCACTTCTCGGAGAAGGAGAACATGGCCTTTCTAGGCTGAAGACAGATCACCTTTCAGTGAAACTCTCGATCTGGGTGATGCCTGTAAGTGTCAATATTTATAGAAAAACTGTTCATGTCCCTGGAATGAGGAACTCAGAGACGGAGTCAAAAGGAATGGAAACTCAGAGATAAGAAGAGTGGACCCGGGTGTCCTGTCCAGCTTGGGGCTCCACTGTGTGGTCCTCACTCGGGGAGGGGCAGGGAGGAGAACGCAGAACACACATGGGGAGTGGCTGCACTCTCTGTGGTCTTTGAAGAGGGGAGACCTTGGTTTGATGCCTCCCCTGTGGTTGTTGGAGCAGGACTTCTGCAAAGGCGTATTTCTGTGTGCAAACGACTGATACCCTCGTCTAAGTTCGGTGGAATGCAGCTGGACTCATTGGTCTTAAATCAGCTGCTGGCACTGAGCAAGAAATAGACTCTCCTGTTTAAAATACTCCACTTACCTATTGATACACGAAGAGCTACCCAAAACTTACTGGCTTTCAAACAACAATCTTTTCCTTTGTTCACAGTCCTGGGAGTCAGAATGCAGGATCGGGGCCGGAGGGCTTGTTCCTGTCTTATGTTCCTGTCTTATGGGGCTGCAGGGATCGGCTTGAGTGGCTGGCAGCCAGCTGGGATGGCCTTATCTGAGCCGGACTTCTGAAGTCTTGGTTGCGGCTGTTGCCTGGGCTGCTCAGTTTCCTCTTGTATGGCCACTCTTGTGAGGCCAGCTTAGACTCCCTCACAATATGGTGGTCTCGGGAAGACAATAAACCCCAGTGTACATGTGTTTATGAAGCTTTTGCTTGTGTCCTGATGACTGAAGATGCATTGGTCAAATTAAGTCACATGGCCACACTCAGAGAAAATGTGGGAGGGACTACGGACAGACATGAGTCCCCGTGATGCAGGCACACTGGGGTATCTGTGGTGGACTCAGAAAGTCATGCAACATTTAGTGTTCATTTTCACTTGTACAAGATTACATAGATATGTGTGTAATTGTGGAACAATATTGCTTAATGATCATAAATGGTATTTGTAATTGGTGTTCTTTTCTCAAAGAAATGGTATGCCATGTTATTTCATGCCAAGTAAACTTTTAAAAGTTTCTAAGCTAAGTATAGTTTGCATCAAATAATTTAAGTTCATCTGTTAAGAAAATAAACTTGGTCTTTAGTATCCACCTCAATCTTAATTTTTTTCTTGCAATTATTGACTTTTTAATATATTTGTTCTAGCTTAAGAGTGTATACCTTATTTAGGCTTTTTAATATTTCATGCATTTAGAATGACTTTTGATTTTCTTGGAGTTGTAAAAGGTGTCTTCAGTTCTGATGTTTCTGTTTGTAGATGCTGGAATGAATGGAAATGAGATGTGAATCCTAGCAGGGCTTGGCTAAGCTCTCTGGACTGTGGCTTCCTCTTTTCTTTTCTTTTCTTTTCTTTTCTTCTCTTCTCTTCTCTTTTTCTTTTCTTCTCTTCTCTTCTTTCCTTCTTTCCTTCCTTCCTTCCTTCCTTCCTTCCTTCCTTCCTTCCTTCCTTCCTTCCTTCCTTCCTTCCTTCCTTCCTTCCTTCCTTCCTTCCTTTCTTTCTTTCTTTCTTTCTTTCTTTCTTTCTTTCTTTCTTTCTTTCTTTCTTTCTTTCTTTCTTTCTTTCTTTTTCTTTCACAGAGCTAGAGAGAGAGAAAGGTCTTCCTTCCGTTGGTTCACCCCCCAAAAGGCTGCTATGGCTGGTGTGCTGCGCCAATCTGAAGCCAGGAGCCAGGTGCTTCCTCCTGGTCTCCCATGTGGTGAAAGGCAGAGTTACAGACAGAGAGAGGGAGAGAGAGAGGTCTTTCATCTGCTGGTTCACTCCCCAAATGGCTGCAATGACCAGAGCTCAGCTGATCCGGAGCCAGGAGCCAGGAGCTACTTCCAGGTCTCCCAAGTGGGTGCAGGGTCACAAACACCCACTTGAGCCATCTCCTACTGCTTTCCCAGACCATAGCAGAGAGCTGGATTGGAAGAGGAGCAGCCGTTTCACAAACTGGCACCCATCTGGGATGCCAGCACCACAGACGGGGGTGGGGGGGTGGTTAACCTATTACACCACAGCGCCGGCCGTGCTTATTCATTTCTTAAACAAGAAGGTTCAGCTGATTGATTTCTAAGCTCTCTTCTATTGCCATTATTTTTTAAATTTGAATTTTCATGTAATGCCTTGATTAATGATTAGAGAAATATAAATTATGCATGTGAAAAATACTAAAGCAATCTGATATTAATGAGAAAAGTGGATATATATCCTCTAAATTAAATTTTGTAGTTACTAGCTTAGCAGTGTTTTCCCTGTGATTCTCTTCCTTGCTTATGTTACTACCTTACTGTGAAAAAAAAAAAAAAAACCTAAGAGGTAAAGAAAATTAGAAGCCAAAAACACAGCATATTTTTATCTCAGAAACTTATTATAGGAGACTAACATCTTGGCAAAATATTTGAATATGCACCTGGAGGAGCTTTTGCTAGACTTAGTTGTAAGTGTATTTGCAGAGATTTGTGAAATATTTTTCCACTTGAAGTATTTGTCTTACGTCTACGTTTTTATTGGTGTATTTCCTGGAAGCAGTTCCCCAAGAGTCTGTAAATGAAGCTCTGGTCACAAGGAATTGGGAATAAGATGAAGATGGTTCGTATTTTTCTAGTATCTGTCCTCAATTCCTAGGGAGAGGGTTAAACAATCAATGATAAGGAAAACATACAAACAGGGAAAAAAAGACTCACCTGAAGCTACAAAGCGTTAGGGTCTCAGACTTGGCAGTGCATTGTGATAAGTTAGGAATCTTTAGAGTCAGGATCTGCATTTTGATGCCTGGGTTCCCTTCTCCAAAGCTCTCCACGTACTTGCTCTAGCATTTGTCCTGGGCATTAGACTTTTCTAGTGTCCCCAGGTGCTCCTGGGTAAGGGAGCCAAATTTGAGAACTGTGCTGGAGAAACTTGAAACCACCTTGGGTTTGTGTCTTGTAGCCACCTTGTGCTGCCGTGGCCAGAGTCCTTGCACCCTTCTTGGCTTTGTGACTTCTCCCCTCAGCATACAGTTGCTCATTCCTTAATTCCTGAATGATGAATTTTTATGAAGTTTAGTTCCCAGTTGCACACACTGTCCCCAGGGTTGGTGTGGAACAGTGAATCTATAAAGGCACATATTTGGACTGAGGAATATTGGGTGGCCCAAACCACACAAACATCTTATGATATTTTAGGTAAATCCATTGGCATCACTACCAAATTCCAAAATAATGCTTTATACCCCTCTGGATTAGCCAGCTCTTTGTTTAATCACGTTTGGGGTGATAGAATAATGACTAATGTTTATTCAAAGTGTTTCTGAAATCTAAACAACAGGATTTATTAGCACCTTCTTTAGGTGGCTTGGGTGTGTGTGGGTCAAAACCAAATACAAACAGAAATTTTTTTGGTTGATAACTTGCCTAAACACATAGGCATTCATTGATATCTAATGGACATTTTGAAACATTTTGGGACTGACGTAAATGTAGGAGAAAGGTTAGTCTGTACATAGAGCCAAAATCTTGTGTAACTATCTCTTTATTCAGGTAAATGGTTTAATTTCTCTCTGCTTGCCTCTTAAATAGAATATCAAGAATTATGGGTAATCAGCCACTCCAGTTTGCCTGGAACTGAGGAGTATACTGGGAAAATTGGAATGAGTTGGTCACCTTAATACAATGAAAATTAATAAGACTTTAAGGAGATTTTAAGACCTTCGATAAAAAATTATTCATATGTTATTAGATGTTTATTGTTACCAAATCATAGAGCAACTATGACTGTAAGTGGAAGGTTAGTGGTTGTCTTATGGGTCTGGTTTTATAACTTTCAGCTTGTCATACTCCTTCTGGATATTCTTCAAGAGATTTTTCTAACACTCCTGAAAATTCACCTTGAGAAAAATGCATACAGACACCAAAATCTGTGGATGCTGAAGTCCCTTCCATAAAATGACATCATTAGGACCCGTGTTGTGGTGTCATGTGTTAAGCCACCATCTGTACTGTTGGCATTCCATGTTGGAGTACTGGTTGGAGGCCTGGCTCCACCACTTCTGATCCAGCTCCTTGGTGATATGTCTGGGAAAGCAGTGGAAGATGGCCCGAGTACCTGGGGCACTGCCACCCACATGGAGAAGTGGGTGAAGTTTCAGGCTCCTGGCTTCCACTGGACCAGTTCTGGCTGTTGCGGCCATTTGGGAAGTGAATCAGTGGATGGAAGAGCTCCCTCCCCCTCCCTCCCTTGTTCCTTCCCTCTCTCTGTTGCTCTGCTTTTTTAAAAATTTTTTTATTTTTTATTTGACAGCTAGAGTTAGACAGTGAGAGAGAGAGACAGAGAGAAAGGTCTTCCTTCCGCTGGTTCACCCCCAAAATGGCCACTATGGCTGGAGCTACGCTGGTCCGAAGCCAGGAGCCAGGTGCTTCCTCCTGGTCTGCCATGCAGGTGCAGGGCCCAAGGACCTGGGCCATCCTCCACTGCTTTCCCCAGGCCACAGCGGAGAGCTGGGCTGGAAGAGGAGCAACCAGGACTAGAACCCGGTGCCTATATGATATGCCAGTGCTGCAGGCAGAGGATTAACCAAATGAGCCACAACGCCGGCCCCATTGCTCTGCTTTTTAAATAAATAAATCTTAAATAAAATAAAGTGGTATACTATTTTCATATAACCTATGTACTCCCTCCTGTGTATTTTAAGCCATCTTTAAATTACTTCTAATTCTGAATACAATGTAAACACTATGCAAATCGCTGTTGTACTGTGCCATCTGGGGGATAAGGACAAGAAGAGTCTGTGTATGTTCAGTACAGATACATTGACAATACTTTGATCTGTATGTGATTGAACTTGAAGTTATGAAATCTGTGTGTAGAGGGCAGACTTTTTTTTCACACTTTGTAGATTTCAAGAAAGAGATGATTATATCTAAAATAGAAGAATGAATTGGTGCTAAAATAGAGGAAAAAGTTCATGTGTCTATCTGCTTTGAGACCAGTACCCTATTAACATATAGATGTTCTCTTAGGAAAATGAAATAGAAAAAAAGAACTAATGACGTCTAATATCGTATGGTTCCATTTTTGCCCCCCAAAACATCAAAAGTCTCCACAGACAGGTAGTACTGCACAAAGAAAACTCATTGAAGGTGTTTGGTTGTTTATTATATTTGAATCTCTTTGAAATAACCACAGTAAAGATAAACATAATTTTATATAATTCTTCTGTTTTACCGAATCAGTATGACCTTTTTATAATGATGTGGTTATCCTTGTTTCTTTTTGCTGAATTTCAAATTGTATGGGGTTAGTTTTCAATTCCTTATGACTGAGGGTCAGAAACACCAGTTAGGGGGTGTGGTGTGGTGGTAGTGGGGAAAGCTGCCACCTGTGATGCTGGCATCCCATGTGGGCACTGGTTTGTGTCCAGGCTGCTCTACTTCTGGTCCAGCTCTGGGATAATGCACCTGGGAAGGCAGCAGAAGATGGCCCAACTGCTTGGGCCCCTACACCCATGTGGGAGACTTAGAAGAACCTCCTGGCTCCTGGCTTTGACCTGGTCCAGGCTCGGCCCTGGCCTTTGTGGCCATCTGGGGAGTAAACCAGTGGATGGAAGAGTTCTCTCTCTGTCTCTCCCTCTCTCTCTCTGTAACTCTGGCGTTCAAATAAATAAATCTTTTTAAAAAACCCAATTGTTTCTTTAAGGAGAAGGTGAATTCAGTTTTAAAGATGCCCAATTGCGAAATCTCAAAAGCAATCCTTTTCAAGAGTATTAAGACATAGAACAACAAATATCCAGGGTGTTGCTAATGGGTTAGATGTCAATGGAGCTAAATTATATTCACTTCTAGTTTAACCATTAAAACAGTCAAGAAACCTGGTTCCAGGCCTGGCTGCACCCCTCCAGGGAGCGTTTGGGTGGACGCCTGCACTGCTCTGGAGCTCGGCCCATTTGTCTGCGAAGTGGGAAGTTTTGAGACCCTGAAGTCTCTTCAGTTGGTAGCATCCTGTGATGCCACAGGTACTGTTCTGATGTAGTCTGAGTGGATGTGTGGATTGCCTCCTTGCTTCGCGCCAGCACTGAGCCTCTGTGCCGGCCATGGAAGAACGGCCCGCACTCCTAGAAGCTGCGA